GGTCAGGCGGTCCCTGCTGCCCGGCTGCCTGGCGCTACGCGGGCTGTGCGGCGCCCGGCTGCTCCCCGCCTCCCTTCATGCCTGCGCCTGACCCGGAACAGCGCTGCGCTCTGCCTCCCTCCTCGCACCCCGGGCTGACATCACCCGCCCCCGGCCCGGCCCCGCACGTCTTCTCCGCGGCCGGCACTGGGCGGCAGCGCTCGGGAGTCCGCCCAGGAGCGGGGCGTGGGGCTGCGGAGCCCGCGGGCTCTTTGTGCGGCTGAAGGGGCGCGTTGGGCACGAACGGAGAGAGAAAGCTCTCAAGTTTGGGACACGAGGTGTCCTCTCCCGCCACTTGGAGGAGCGCCCTTTAGGCACCCGAAACAAGGATAAGCAGGGGGGTATTTCAGTGTATGGCTATGTAAATCTACGGGGAGGGAAACACTGGGATATCATTACTATTAGGCCCCAGTCCTGCCAGCAGGCTTCCCACGCGCTCAGCTTTATTGCTAAAGCAGCTCTTGCCTGGGAAGGTCTCGCTTCGCCTGCACCTTTGCAGCGTGGGAGCTTTGCAGGGTGGGTGCTGCCCCTGTGCCAAGGCCAAGCTATGCAGCCAGGGTTGACGGGTTACTTTGGAGGCCCCAGACTCTGCTGTGGCTGCCATAGCTGTTGCCACGGGTGTGTATGTGGCGTGGCTTGTGGACGCCCTTCCACACCTGGACCCTGTGATCTTCTGAAGTCCCTTCCAGCCTCACAATCTATGAATCTACGAACCTACCCCTTCTGCGAGTGCTAGAGCGCGCCAGGTTGCAGCCCCTTCATTGCCTCCTCCACAACCTCCTGCACTATTCCCCACAGCGTTTTCGTTATTTGCTCCCCATCCACACCCTACCAAGTCCCAGGACCTCCTGGTCAACTTCCTCCTGACCAGGAAGGAGGCTCTGGTTCATGGGCGACTGGTGCCTCCCTGTCTGGGTGAACACCAGATCACCGCCGCCGATCGCTAACTGGGGGGAGGTCCCCGAGAGGCAGATTGTCGAGCATGGAGCCACCAGCGGCGAAACCAAAAGTGCACTTCTGCCGGCACTTCCAGATTCGCGGCTGGTGGTTCCAGGGGATGCACGGCCAATCTCAGGGTGTGCGCGTGCACCCCCTATGTGTCGCCGATGCTCTGGTTGAAAGGACCCCCAGGAAATATGGGGCTGTTTTCCTGTCCCTGGCCCAATCACGTCTCTGAACAGAGCTCCCTGGGCAGTGTCCACTGGCTCCTTAGACTTGTTTTGGGGCCAGTGGGCACTGTCCAGTGTGCTCTACTTGGTGTCCAGTCTCGCCCCCGTCCCCCCCCCCGCACTTGTTTGAAACCTTTGACCTTCACTCCCATCCCTGTTTTGTGTTTTACTTGTTTCAAGCAATCACTGATGTGCCTCGCTACCTTATTAAGGGGGGCTTACAGCTTTACATGGTGGGCAGTGGTCCATATTCTGGAATGACACATCTAAAGGCCCTCTTGGCTGCCATCCCCTCTCCCTCTTCTGGCTTTCACTGCCTGCCCCCGCCCCAGGAGGCAGGGCAGTGCAGTGTGCACAGCACAGCCAGGGGAGCTGAGGGCTGTGTGGGCATGTGGCGCAGTCATGGCATGGGGGTCACAGGTACAGCAGTGGTGGAAGCATCCTGTGCAGTGTGGCAGAGGGAGGTGTGTGGCCTGGGGGTCCATGTGGCCCCAGTTGGTGCAGGCCACAGGCTATTCGGCCCCTAGCCGCTTAGAAGTTGGACGGCCCTGTACTAAATGTACTATGAGTATCTGCAAGAGTAAAAAGATAAATATTTACATACTTATATTGCCCTGACTACAGTGCATGAGTTAGTGCCATATGTGTGTTTGCAGGATCAGATACAGTAATACTAATTCATATTTTCAATTCAGGTATTATTACATCTCTATTATCTAGTTAAAGAGACTGTGGACCACAATACTGAATTTGGCCAGCTGTATTTATGTGGGTTTCCAGGTAAACATACATACTGTTGTCTACTGAAGTCTAAGCTTCCTTGTTTGGGATGGTTTAAATTCTCTAACAGCAAGAATGTGTGAATGCTGAATATGTTTCATCATTTTCTTGATAATGCATTTTTTAAGCAATGCAAAAAAATGTTACAGTGGTGTTATTTATTAGGTGCTTGTCCATCATTAATGTGCCACACACCGTACACACTAAAATTAGTACAGCATAAAAACAAATCAGTCCAGTGTACTGACGACTTTCTGAAGTACGTTTCTCAAACCCACTTTAAAAAGGGCAAATTCTAAGGTCAAGAAGGTGAGCAGAAGCAAACATACAAACAACACTCCATCTGTTTCTGCAAACTTCAGGCTTCAGCGGCCCCATTCCTTCATGCGTTTAAGCATGAGATGGTGTAAAGATTTTTTAGTGAAATAACTCAAGTCTGAAAGGTTCTTTTGGGGAGGTTGTCTTGTACCATTTTTGTAATCAGCATAAATTGGAAAAAATAATCACTTAACCTTAGATGTATCTTATTTTAACAATATCTATAACACTGGACAAGGTGGAAATTATGCTTTTGGGTGGTAGTTGAATCCAGTAATCTCCCTTTTCTTGGTCTTCTTCCAAAATTTTGTGTAAATGCTATTTAAGTAAAATTTAAACTTATTGTTTCTCATGCCAGATCAACTGTTTAGTCTTGAATGTTCTATTTGTCTAAATTTACAGATATTGCAGTGATCTGGCTGATTATTGTTCTTTAAATAAAGAGCACTGCCAGTTTTGGTTTTTCCATGCTGATAATAGTTTGCAGACCTCCAAAATATGCTAAACACTCCAGAAGTCACCTTCTTTTAGGTATTTGCAATAATGCAAACACCTAAAGAACAACCTATCTGGAAGCAGACATGTCATTCTTTTGCAGATGTAACAAGAGATTTTAAAAAAATAACCTGGAACACATCTGAAAAAAAAAATGTAGAGATGGCTGCTAGACTGAGTAGGTGAAACAATTGATCAGCAAATGAACTGTGATTTGACATCAGTTTGACTGAATTAGATTAAATGTGGAAGAAATGTTTTAGGAAAAGGCTGCAGCAACTTGACTTTCAAATAAGCTGGGACTTAACAATTTTAATGAGGAGAGAAATCACGTCTCATGAAATTAATGGCAACTAGAGCTATAATGGGGTAAGCATTTGATCCCAAAAGATAATCAGGCTTGTAATCTAAGTGTAACGCACCATGACCATGTGGGTCATTTTTAGGCCTCTCCACTCTTCTGCCTGATCTCTTTCATTTTGTTTGTGAATTTATTAAGCAGAGTCAGACTGATACTGTGGAAGTTTTCTCAAATTGCATCACTTACGTGCTTCTGCCTTAGGATGGCAGGATCAGGATTCCACTGTGATGGAAGTAGAGCTGCCTGAATGGCATTGCCTTGCTATTGGGAACAGTAATAGAGGTGTAAATTAGCATCAGCTGTTGGCTTTGTAATATGGAGACATTTTTTGGGAGATGAACTGTGATGACCAAACTCATTTCATATAGGCCACCCAAGGTGCCAGTTCCAGTCGTTACCGACCTAGCTCAGTTGGAAGTGTCCATATTCCATGCTGTTGAGCAAAACTAGGAATTAAAATCTCCATGGTCTTGCATGATTTTTTTAATGCACTGAGAAATAATAGATTTTTACATCAATGAGACTGATCTCACTCCCAGTCTTCAAAAATACCATTTTAAATCAGTGGGTCAGAGTTCAAATTGTGGGCATCACTTGCAAATTGCCTGAAATCTGACAGACCTGCTTTCTTCTGTCTTGAAAGGCATGTGAGGAATGCCATATTTTGTTTGCTCTGTTTAACAAACAGCATAACAATTAAAAAGACGGGAACAAAATCAATAAATCAAGTAAATACATAGCTATGTGACATCTAGGCAATTACTTCTGTCAAAGTTTTCAAATATGTATTGTGTTAGTCACCTAAATATTGTGAATATTGTTTTAGTTATCTTAAGTGCTGCAAACTTTACTGTGCCAGGATACAGCTTGGGTAGCGTCATATTTTTAATCTTCCACTTATTCTTCCATCTGTTGGTGATGCTTTACAGAAAGGGGAAGAGGAAGAAAGGAGCTGGAGATGCAAAGAAGATAGAGACTTTGTGGCTTCTAGATTGTAGCATCCAGTTAAACTAGTGGATCATAGAATTGTAGTGTTCAACTTGAGGATCATCCAGTCCACTCTGTAGCCCAGAGGCAGGATGTACTATTCTTAAACCAAAATAAATCCAGCCTCTACTTAAAACTTTTACTGAAGGAGATTCCACAACTTCCCTGTGCAACTGGGTTATTTAGTCCCACATTGTCTTACAGTTAAGTTTTTTTCCCCCTAAGATATGATCTTAAGTCTGTTTTGGGGCAATTTAAAATCATTGCTTAGTGCCCTTCTCTCTGTACTATTTGCTAAGGGAGACCAATAATCCTCTACCTTCTCTAAACAAAAAAAGAGAAAGAAAGAGATGCAAAAAGCTAGAATAAAGCAAAAAATGGTGAGAGAAATACATGTGCTGGTCTGGTTACTTTAGAATCAAATAAAACCCTCAATCTGAAGGTTTTGATTCTCCCTTCAGGAGCATCTTCTTCCAGAGGAGTTGCCCATCCCCTCCAAACAAATTAAACCTAAGTGCTACTAAACAAATACTAAAGATAAAGCCTGAGAGTAGCTGAAAGCCAAATTGGGTAGACTGCAGGAATTAATTAGCAATGACGTGCTTCTCCCTTCTCAAGTTTGCCTGCTGATCACCCCTTCCCAGATGTGGCTTTATTTAAATCATTTACAGTAATAAGTACACACATCAGGTTTGTGAAATGATTGGTACAGAATAATATTTTTT